AATGTATGCCTCAAAACAGACCAACACTTACTTCCCAAGGTACAATTCATCTCACCTCACTTCAGCTATCTAGAAATTAGACACCCAGACTAAACTAGTCATGTAGTCATGTAGTCAATGGAGAGACAGGCACTTAATATAAGCAAGATACACCTTTTTTTGGGTTAAGAGTAAACAGGGTAAATAAGGTTTTAAATTGAAAAAAGACCATCAAAATCTAATCTCAGAATATCTACCTGACTTTTTCAACTTTGAAAAAAGACAAAACAAGCAAAATGACAAGTGAAGTGATACTGGTGGGCATGGGGAGCAGGGAGGGGCGCAATATTTTTAGAACATGTTTTAATTTGAGTGGACAAGTAAATGCTTAAACTGTAAATAACATAAATATCAATGGTTTGTTTTTACTTAAAAATGGACTTATGTCTGAATCCTGTAACATCAAAATTATCTATCACTGTTGGACTTGCTGGCTGCAATACTAAATCAATTTTCATGTGACTGGAGATCTGACTACACAAATACACAGTTCTTTGTGGACCAGCTTCCGAAATTTATTTTGCAAATTTCTGTAATCAAATGAAATATCATGGAAGGAAAATGAAACACTGCTGGTTTTATCAATATGGCAACAATAGCATCATTTACAACTGATAGAGTTATAGAATAACAAAGTGTACATCAATATTTACAGAGGACATATTAGAGTAGGTAATAAAACTACGCTGATTCAAATTATGGCTCACTGATTTTTTTGAGAATGCAGTATCACCTCTTTATTACAGTATGTTGTCCTGTCTCAATTTTTCAATTGATATTACCAAAATCATTACTGGTGCAAGACTAACATCATCACCCCAGCACAACAATGTTGTTCTGAGCCTCATAGATGCGTGGAATATGTTCAGCTGGAACAGTGTGTTTAACAGGATAGAGCTGAGACACTTTTTAAAACAAAACACTTACTGAAGTTGAACTCATGACTGAATTAAGCAAAAGTTACATTTTTTTTAAAAAACCTGTTCCCTCAGTCTGGAGAGAATTCAGCGACAGCACATACAGCTGGTTTCACAGCACCTATCTTCAAGATCAAAAAGTTACCTTTATATGATGAAAAGGAAATACAAAGCTTTTTACACCATAAATATCTTTTAGAAGAGCAATGTTAAAATCAAGCAGAAATGGACAGACCTGTTTCCATACACAGAGGCAATGGAAGAATGCCCTCCCTGAGGTTGCCAAGAAAGAGCTAGACTACTAATTGTACTGTGTACACAGTACTGAGATCCAGGCATGTAGATCCTACAAGTTCTCCAAGAATAAGATGAGGAGGAAATTTAGGGCCTTGCGAGCACCTGGGGCAGCTGAGTAACCAGTAATTCTCAGCTGATACAGACAGATTAGCATTGTTATTATACTCAGGAACAAACCATCAGAAAACTGGGAGAAAGCTGTGAGCCAGAAATTTCCTTGTGGCCACAGTGTCTGCATTCACTTATTAATTTTTTTGCATGCATCTTTTACCACACTATTTGGAGTAGTAAATAAAAGAACTAATTATGAAGATTTGCAAAGGACATCAGGGTACTAGATCATAACACAGAAGATTAAATCAAGTCTAGAGAGATGCGAAGTGAGTCATTTTGGAGAAAAAAAAATCAAGTATTACATATATATGATGGACCTCAGCAGACTGGAACTAATAAGGAATAAGATTTTGAGACTATCATACAAACTTTCCGTGGAAGTTGCAGTTTAGTGTTCAGCAGTCAGAAGAAATACTGTCAGGAATTAAATAGATGTGGAAACAGAGAACGTCATGAAAGCAATCAAATATCTTGAATAGCATGCACAGTTCTGACATACCACCTCGTGAGATGGAAGATGCTGGAAAAGGTACAGAGAAGGCAGCAAGGTGATCCTTTTATGGCTTCCAAACAAGGAAAATTTAAAAAGACCAAATATACTCAACTTGGAAAACAGACAACTGAAGAAGGAAATGACAGAGGGGACAGGTGTTGTTTATACTTTAGAAGTTTCACCAAGAAAAAGTAAATTCTTTGATAAATAAATGGATAATAGAAGTAGCAAGGATTCAAAGCCAACTCATCTCCTTTCCATCTGTCCTGAACTTGCAGGATCAGGCTCCCTGATTTTGGAAACATTTTAGGTATATCTGATTTCTGTGGAATATCCATTATGCATAGGCCCATGTTCAGCTGGAAACCAAGCTCCATACATATTTGCCACTTGTGAGTTTCTGAAGTATGTGTGTACTTCTGCAGTACATTACATTCACTCTTACATTAGTGAGATCTATATTTGTCTATCTGTTATACTCCTTGACAAATTAAAGCAACAGTGCAGTGCTCTACTACTGTCAATTTAAAAATATATGTATTTTTTCAGCTTAACAGGTTTTAGGCAAATAAAACTAAAATATGCTTCCAATTTACAGCTCTAATGTATTTAAATGTTATAGCATTTATAGCAATTGAAGTGGTATTACACTTTCCACAAAACAGCTGCCATAATTCTTTTTCTTTGATGATGCTTTTGGAAATAACTGAATTTTTCTTAAAAAATCAGATAAATCTGTTTAGATGTACAAAGCTCCTTTGAGGCCACTTGCTTAGCTGTTAATAGTTTTTCATTTTTGTCGTGGTTTACATCTGATAGGCTAGCAGTTGAGGGATGCAGTACCACTATATCTAATTAAGTTGCTGGAGAGTTTAGCAGTACAGTTTATCAAAAACCCACTGACTATCATCAATCAGGCTCTCTCTTAGAGATACTGGTAAGTGCATTAAACCAGTATAAGCAACTTTTAAATAACATACTTAAGTTCTAGTATATGTCCAGAAGACAACTTTACATATATTTTACATTAATTTTCAATAGCAGCATATGATATAAGCACCAGTAAAGCAACAATTTGGAACAACTAATTCAGCAATGAGAGGTGGCACGGTGTACAGTCTCTCTGAAAGCCAGTTGCTTAAAACATTTTTAAAGGTATGTTTTCTTCACTGGAGGGAGCATATTAAGTCACAGCATAAATATACACACACTGTATATTTACACATACAGGAAGATCAATCTACCATGTAATAGAACCCCTCTTACACAAGTCATGAGACTCTTGCTTTTATCCCCTCACATGATTTCTTTATGATTTATTAATTTGATTGTAAAATAAATGTCTGATGTCCTCAGAATAACCTGGATAAATGAATCTCCATTACTATTTACATCCATGAACCATACACGTACTTTCCCTCTTAGGCTGTTCTGCTTAATAGCATTTAAATAATAATTTTAGGTAAAAACAGAGGGTTCTGAAGTAATCATTTGTTGAGGTGAATGAAGGTCATCTCTGTAAGTTTTTGTGGCATCACTGCCTAGTCTGGTTATCACTTCAAAGAAGGGACACTGTGAAATGGACTAGTAATGTCTATGCTGAAAAAGCACATCCGACAACTTTATTGTTTCTTCCTTTCTAGGTAGCAACTATTCTGGAATTGTGAAACTTTGCTGTAGTTTTTCCTACATCACCAAGTACAGCTATCTTCCAGGCAGTCTTATGTTCACAGGCAGATGCTATATGTCCTTGTAGATTTTTTAGGCAGTGTACCTGTGCAGTCATCAGCCCCTTTAACCACAAACCTACCCTGATGGCCAGCTCTTCCTTGCATTTGGGAAACAAATCCAAACCCATGAAAGGAAATGAATATTGTATTTTTAGGTTCACATCTTCTAAACTGAATAATGATTTGGGTATTTCATCTGAGCTGGACTCATTGCCAAATTCAGTAAAGTTATCTGATAGTTAGAGATCACCTGCCCTTTTGAAAAATCAAGCCACTTCAGGCTGGCTTAGCTTCAGTATTAAAAATCTGAAAAACTTTTAAAAATTTGGGGTTGTGTTTTAGCTTTCATTTGATTGTGCAGCATGGTCAAAATGAGACTTGTAAATTGAAGAATAATAACTAGTGTTATTCTGTAACTAGACAACCATGAAGAGAAACATAAATGCAACACTCTTCCTTTAGCTGTTTACCTATTTGTCTCTCATTATCTGTAGATCACCCAAGATTAATGAATTCATTGTGAGACAGAGTTTTCCCAAGTAGATTTTCAGCCACAGAGTGAATTCATTGATTTTTCCCATTTTTGCATTACCGCACACAAAAGCACTAAAAGCTTAAAAAACCCCACAAAAATTAGCAACATATTCTGTACAGGCACTTCAGGTAATACTCCTGCAAAATCCATTGCTTCAGTATTCCAGCAGTGTTTCAAGCTTCAGTTTGAAGGAGTTTAAGTCAGTGAACATTTAGTCACATTTACAGCACTGATTGTCCAACAAACTAAAATCTCCCCCAAATTCTATTTACAAATTTCTAAGTGAGGAAGAGGTATAATTTATAAGTAATAAAGAACTATATCCTTTAGAAGTGAATACTGAGGATATAATGCATGTGAGTGAATTTATTCAACATATATGCAAACATGCTTTCAGTCTGCTAGAGGGCTCACAGCTCTAAACTGTGTGTCAGTGCACTGTTTCCTCTTCGGCATGTAATTGCACAGGCTATTAACTTTCCAAGTGAGAAAGCTGGCAAACAACTAACACTAATATGGTGTATCATGTAGCTTCGGTAGTATTCTGAACACTTCGAGCTAATACTCCTTAGAATCACACATTTTATCAAGTTTCCACTGAATATCTTTGTAGAAAGGCTTACACTAATTTCTTAAATTAGAATTCCCCATCACCCAATTTTTATACAATGAAATACTATATAAATGCCAAGCTCACCATCTTACTGCATACAATTATATAAAATATGGAGTATTTTTACTATCACCCTAGGCCATTTATGTATTCCTTCCTGAAATGCCAGGCTTAGTTGTTGTATATCTGCCAGCAAAGGAAATATGCAATGGCAAGTCACTTACACCATACATTCAAGAGAAGTGCAATTCATCAAACATACCTCCACAAGCCTGCTGGTATGTTCTCGAAATATAGCAGCATATTCTTTTATTTCTTTCTCTCTTCCATTTTTAGCAGCTTCAATGAGAACTAAAAGCGGAACAGAGGTATCTAAGAAGGAGTCTGAGATGTGATCTATAATGGCTTTACGGAGCTGCAAAAAAAAGCATTACATTAGTATCTGCTAATTGTATTATTTATTGTTCATTAGTATTTTATAACATAAACATGTACACACTGTATTTGCAGGATTATGTGTCTGAAACCTACTGCAGCTGCAATTTATCTATTAAACAGAAAACTCTACTTAATTTTAAGGACAATTTTAATATACCACTATGTATGTGTGAGTACAGATACATAAAACATGTACTGGCTCTGTTGAAATCAAGGGAGACAAACAAATATTCATGTTCTTTGATGAATAGACCACTTAAGTGATTCCACACATGAAAAACTACTGTTAGACCAAACCTTATATCTCCTGGGTATTGCCTCTTGAAGTTCAGTTGCCAAGGGAGAAGACTATTTCATTTTACAAAGAAAATATTAATTTAATTATGTTTGTACTCACAAAATAGTCTACATCACGTTTTCATAATTGCAAAATTGTCCAAATATTTTCTACCTTGTTGGAAAACCCAGTGATACAGTTTGATTAGCAAAATGGTAGCCTTCATGGTAATTAGATCAATGACATTACTGATTACACCACCTGATAAAAGATTAATAGAGCAAGAAGAACTATAAATTAGTCTGAAGTTCAATTTCCTCTATTTAAATTAATTGTTCTTGAACTTCTTACTTAAATTATTAAAGAAGTGTAACATTCTGCTACAAATTACCTCTCTTAAATTGGGTTTCATACAGGATTATAACTGATCATTGGGACACCACTACAGAGGTTATTTTCCATGTCATAAACCTACACATGGCATTTTAATCATAGAACACTACGAGAAATATACCAATCATAACAATATATGCAATGCAACTAAATTACCAAGTTCACTGAATTTCCTACTGCAAAACATTATTTTTACAATAGATATAAAAGACACTGATTGGAACACAGGAGAACACAAAAGGCTTTTAAGCCTTTTAAGCTCTTGCATGCTGACAAGTTTGTTGCCAAAGGATGCGTTTTCACCCAGCATTTTGCGCCAATGTATCTATGTGAAAACTCAGTAGAAGTAAAGACTCTTACAGCTAGAAAAAGGCAAAAAAACACAATCTTTTTGATGCTGCTGTCCTTGTAGGTAAGGCAGTGAACATGTACAGCAGAAATAATATTAGAGAAATCTGTTGATTATCAAGACAAGATCTGGATATGAATTCCACCACTAGCTTTTGGATAGCCTCGCCATCTGAAGCCAACTCTCACTGACTCACCAGGAACATGGGACAGACAAATCTTCAAAAAAAAAATTACAGGTAAGTTTACGTTTGAAATGTTTTTTTGTCTTCTAACTTACTGTAGCTTATCACATTAGGATATACTATCTGCATACACTGTATGTTCTCAAAAGTAATTTACAAAGTCAGAGTCTATAGGATTCCAATACAAAATTGGATTTTTACTGTCATGTTCAAATTCCCAGCTTTATTCAGGCTTGAATTTTAAAAATAAAAAGAAAGCAAAAATAAAAAGTTTCACTACCAGGAACAAAATATATTAAACCTCCAGTCCTGTCAAGTTACCTGTTAAAATTTCTGTGTCGGAAAAGTTCAACTGAAGACAACAGACATGCTCGCCTGCTTAAAATTAAATACATGAATATGACCTGGAGAAATCACAGCTTAAACATTAAGATTTCAATTTACAATAATCAGCAACAAAAAGATGTGGAACCATATTCATGGCCAATGATTTATTATCTCCAAGAGAAATATTTTTTGAGTTCTGCATAGCCCAGACTGTAGGAGTTTTGCAGCCTTAATGTATTATTTGAGGACCAGTGACTTCAACGACCCTGGTCACATTTGTGGTAAGCTTGAGGCATCCAATTTTCAAACCAGCAGCCTAATTTTATCTCTCATCATATAATTCTTTGCTGTAGCTTTTTACTGGTTTGCTTGGTTTAATTAACCTTTCACATATAAATTATGATTATTGTTTTGTTCTAAGAAATCCTCTGTCCTGCAATTAAACAAAGTGAAACATATCTTCAAAAAAAAAAAAAAAAAAAAAAAGATAATTCTGTGCTTTACTGAATACAATCAAGTTTGAAATTATGTTCCTGTTTCAGCTATGCAAAGGAATACATGAAGCAGAGATTTTTCAAAAGATGATCTGTGTAGCTAAGAGCAAAGAAATACAATGTAGAACAAGGAAAGGAAAAAGAAAAAGAAAAAAAAAAGGAATATCTGAACCAATATCTCTTTCTCATCATCCTAATCGTAACAGTTCTTTTTTCCATGACTCAGTATCTGTTTCTGACTCTGGCCACCTCTAGAGCAAAATGCTAAAAGCCAAGTAGCCATATAGGGAGACATATAAACAGACAAAGATCTCTCCAAAGCATGGAGAGCTTTTGTTTTGTTATTGAAGTCCATTAAAAATAACATAGAAACATGTTGTTTACAAAACATGGGGCTAAAGGTTCTCAAAAACAAACAGTGGAAGGCAGAAAAGAAAATCCCAGCAGCTGTTTGCAACACTACTAACATCAGTAACCTGTTGAGTACAGAAAACTCTGTTTGCCTCTATTTGCCTATTGCCTCGCAAGATGACACTGGCAAAAGTCCTGGAAAAACTAAAGATTTGTTAGCATCGAGGGATCTCTCTCTCCTATTTCCAAGGGATGCCAGAAAGGCAATCTCATTTGTGTTCAGAAAAAACTATCAATGATGAAGCAGCAACATAGAAATATAAAAATATCCTCAGAAACCACATTTATTAAAAAATAACAACCACAACTGTGGAACAACCACAGGAGAAATGTGTGTGCAGTCCATTCACATTACACTGGGAAACAACTGGGAGGTAAGGACCGAGTATGGCAATTTCTTAGAATTAGAAATTGGAATGAATAGAAAATTCCATCCTAAATATTCATCCAGCTCTACTAGGCAGGGAAGCCGTGATCTAGGTAAAGCTGCACACACAGAAATGACATGCACATCTCTGGCACAATACAAATAAAAATCAAAGCAAACCACAATATTTTAAAAACCCCACAAGTACTGGCCAAGTTCTTGAAGTGAATACAAGTAATTTAATTTGAAAAGCCAGAGATTTTTACAGCTTCCACAATACACTGTTCTTGAGATAGCTACTTTTGCCTTCAAGTCTTGCCAGACACAAGCCTTCCTTTACTCACTGTGGTCTACAAAGATGTTCCACAGGGGCCCACGGCACAACCCATAATCAGGTGGTGACTGGGCCATTACTTATATGATGGTTTTGTTTATTGTGTACTACACTGGAGAGATTAAAAAAATACAACTTCATAAGGTTTCATCTTCAACCGCAATTGTGCAGAGGCAATCCCAGTAACTGAAAGCAGAGTGCATTGTGCACCCAATAGCCTTGAATCTGCTATGAGTCTAATGTAATGCCAATTATGGCACAGAGTATAATTCAAAATTTTTTTAAGTATTATAAAAGCTGTAAGAGTAGACCAAATAACAATTTTCATGTTTCCAGTAAAAGCGCTGGGAGACAGAATAATGAATGTTCATAACTGAAAGCAAATAAGACTCTACTGCAATAGCTGCAGGCACAGAACTCACAATTTCATGTTTCCCAGTTCAGGAATTAAGATATGCAGTAAGCACTCTTCCTAAAAAAAAAATTTTATGCAATTCACATGTGTGAGCCCAGAATTGGAGGGAGTAGATGAATTATTTCTCATAAATACCTTGCACTGGAAAATGGCAAGAAGCCATAGAGCTGCTCTGGCTAGAGAAAACTACTGGTTCTAGATTGACTGTAAATTGTGTATGATTACATTCAGCCTGAACATTTAATGAAGGTTTATAGAAACACACAAATTAGTGAACAGATTTTAAACACTGTAACAGAGTCAGTAAACTGTTATAAGCTAAAGGTTAATTAACTCATGAAAGAGACTGTAAGACAGAACGGGAGAGCTCCTAGACACACTGAGCTTGTGGTGCAAGCCACCAGGTGTCTGAGCTGAACATTTTTTGATGGAATGTGAGAGGAAATTTGATAGCTAGTTAGTTGTAAACACTATATTTATCTTTTATATTCACCTAATCTTTTAAGGCTTCCCCTGTCTGATTATGGGAGACATGAAGGAATTTATTCATCATCTCGAAGCATAGGCTGTCTTGTAAGACTGTACACAAAGTTGGGAGGGATATTCTTCTGCCAGAGGGTTGACATATAGATACAGCTACAGACATGATGAAAGCAACATGTACTCATGCTCCTTGTAGCCGTAAATTTTCATATAGTTGGTTAAGGCAGCCTAGCTGAAAGAACTACTGGCTTTCTAGCTCTCTTTTCTAAAGTGTCATGTTATATACTTTCAATGTAATTTACAATTTTTGTCAAAGATGTTCCTTGCAGAGAAAGGATGTAAACACATCTGGTGTCTACTGCTCACCTTCTGCAGTACACTGAATTTGTGGATTTTGGTCCATGTCTCACATCAATTTTAGGATACTGGGATGCAAAAAGGGTGGGTGGAATGTGGACCACATATTCCAAGGACCCTTTTCTGTTGTACGAGTTCTCGCAACTGTAAAGAGCTAGACATAATGGCCCAGTGATCCCTTCAGGGTATCCATTCCAACAATCAGTAATAATTCAAGCTTATTTAAAATAAAATGAATTTTGATGTCCAAAGTACATTACTGATATGTTTCTATAGCAAATAAATACATATTTAGACATGTACACATGCAAAATTTTGCCCATGAACATACACATATTCAGCCAATACAATTTGGTAGGGTTTTCTCCCTGAGTTTCAAAATTTATATGAGTATATTCTGTGGAATAGTGTAACTATCATCAGTTTTTTAATATAGAATAAGTTTTTATTTTCAAAACACAGTCCTAAAAAACTGAAAATAGCTAATTTGATAAGCATCCTTCGAGTCTCCTTTTCAACCTTTTCAGTTCCCCAGGTTGTTTACCTGTCTGCGGAGGTCTCTTGTCTTCTTGCACATACTATCTATTGCAACATTCAAGGCATTACTTCTCTCTTTCTTGTCAGTCTGTAATAAATATGATAGAAAACACATGAAAGGTTATTTGTGATCCCTTAGGAAGCATTTTCTTTCTGTCCTCACTTCATCCTAGCATTTGGTAAATCAAACATGATTAAGGATTTTTTGAATTCTAATGCGTTTCAGGAGCCAGTGCTGAAATATTCACCGAATGACAATTTGTGATGTTAAGTGTAATCTGCTGAATCAAAACATATGCATTACTAGAAGTATATAGGAACAAAATTAAACACTCATTATCTTCTGAATTACTGTAATACTCTTTACAGTCCAGGGTTACTTATGCAACAACATTAATATAATTATTATTATTGATGCCAGTCTATTATCACCATACTAATATGAAAAATCACGTTTTCTTTCAACAAGCAATTTATGTATTCAGATGACCACAATGCAATTTGGTAGTGATTTAGTTTGTAGCATTCATTATTTTACTCCTGTGAAAAAGAATGGGTGAATTTCAAAATGTCCAAGATGTTGCAATGGCAAAGTCAATTAACACTGTCAATGAAAATGGACAATCTTCCAATTAACAACACATTAATTCTCAGCATCAATAGAAGACTGAGTTTTTGAGATATTTGAGAAGTCTTAAGAGAATCAGTTATATACTTTCCAAACAGTCCTAACTTTTTATTTCTATCTATAAGCAAAATGCTTATATCATTATTAGCTATTTGAAAAGTGGAGTTAACACTTTTATTGTAGTGCTCAGCATTTTGTCTATACAATATTACCATAGCAGTTCTGTGTCTACTAGTTGTTTTGAATAATCTTTTTTTTCATGTTAGTACAGAAACTATATGAAAATCCAAAATGTCTGATGAACTTTGTTTCTATAAAGCAATCATTTGTCACTGCCTTGAACTGCCCCAGTGCAAAGGAAAGAAACCACCAACAGTGAAAGTGTCTTTACACAAAGTCTTAAGTCAGTACAGGTAACATTTCCAGGAAAAGGATCAGATTCTCATAAATGTTACAGAAATAGTTATGTATACTGACCAGAACATTTGGGGTTCAGTTACAGTACACTAGGACGTCTATATTATGAACATGACCATCTCACTTTGTAAATCATACTAAAATAAATACTTGTGAAAATAAAAGTAGTAATATCTTGGTAGGTACCTAGGTGCATAACCTTGTTATATACAATATATTATACTTCAGAGTTATCTCCTTGCAAAACAAAAATAATAATCTGTGAACTAAGCAATATGCTTAATACTAAAGCAAAGACTAGATACGATCAAGAAAGAGCTTTTACATTAAAAGTGAATGTGTAATTGTCCTCGTTTCAGCTGGGACAGAGTTAACTTTCTTCATAGTAGCTAGTGAGAGGCTGTGTTTTGGCTTTGTGCTGAGGAGAAGCCTGATAACATACTGATGTTTATAGTTGCTGCCAGGACAGTCAACAACTTTTCAGCTTCTCTGCTGTGCCAGTGTCTGCAGGGGCAGGAGAAGCTGAGAGGGAGCACAGCCCAAATCACTAGCCTAGGATTGATCTTTAGGTTTAGGATTGAGACCCAAACTGGGCAATGTTCTATTCCATATCATGTACGTCATGCCCAGTACATAGATGAGGGTCTGCCTGGAAGTTCTCTTTCTCCAGGTCGCCTCTCTCTGAGTCACTGCTCTCTTGGGGCAATCTTGCTCTCTTGGACGCTTGGGCTTTTACCTTCTTTCTGGGATTGTGGTTTCAGGATTCTACCTGCTCCAAGATCATTAGCTGGGAACAGGCTGAGCCTTGGTCATCAGGTGGTGAGCCATTTACTGTGTATCACTCATTTGTGTAATTGTATATATTACTATTATTATCATTATTATTTTCAATTTTATTGTAGTTTGGTTATGAAATTGTTCTTATCTCAACCCATGAGTCTCTTTTCCCTTTACTCCTTTAATTCTCTACCCCATCACTGGGATGGGGGGGATGGAGAGCGGAGGTTAGTGAGCAGCTGTGTGGTGTTTCACAGCTAAACATGGTTTAAAACCACTACAATAATGCAATAAATGCCTTGAAATGATTAGTACATTCTCTATCAACTAAAAGGAACTATTACTTTTTAAAACCGAGCTTATATATTCAGGCTGACTTAGAAATTTAGTTACTACTTTCAGTTTCTGAAATTGCTTACAATGTTTACAGGTGACAGATGACCAAACATGGGTCTTGGAGAGAGGTCTGAACTTCACCTTGAGACCTTCATGGAATCCCTAAAGGCAGACACTAACTTTCTGTTTCACAGTATATGTGACCATTTCTCATACCAATACTTGCATAGGAACTGAAGTAAATAATGACTCTTGCACTATGTTTTGCAAGCTGTTGTCAACCCTAACAAAAAAAATTGATACCTTCTAAACTGCTAGGTGAACAGGACCCGTAAAAGCATTGTGGATACAACTCAGCTTATGCCTATGCATTTTCAGATGACAAAGACGCAGTTCCACATGGGCACACCCTTTAAAAGCTTTATATTTAGAGCCTATTTTTCTCAGAAGCCAGAATCAACGAAAAATAGTGGTATTTTTTTAAAGTTCTCCAGTAAATTCCAACTTTGAAGGTGCCAACTAATGATACAACCGGCTCTAAGCAAACCTAAATCTTCAACGCAGCTAATATGAAATAAACTCACTCTGTGAGTGGCATAAAAATATTAAACAGTGAACAAGGAAAAAAAAACTTTCTTTGCAAATTCTTAACATAATTGTCCATAGTCAATGTCTAGGAAGCAAACCTAACTGTAACTGAAGTTATTCTTCACCTTCTGTTTTCCCCAAGAACTAAATACATTGTGAAATGCAGCTTCAGACTGTAGAATGTGGACAGGTCCACAGTGTGGGTAACTTCATACTTGCAGACTCATTCTTCCTTAAAGAAATACAAAACTCCCCAAGCCACATTACTGTTTAGATAAATCCTTTTTATAAAGATTTAAGTATTACAGAATTGTGTACAGTCTGTTAAAGTCAGGGGGACACCTGACTAGAAAGTCTGCTGTGGGAGTACTCTTACAAATCAATGGCCTCACACCGTGTTGTCCAGCTTCCTTGAGGTATTGTCCATTGGTCCCAAGTACCTTTGAATGCTGAATTACTCCTTTAAGTTTATATTTCTCTGCAGACTTCCATCTCAAATATGTATGTAATACTAACAGTTCAAGATCTACACTAGATGATTATACTTTTCAATAGCTGAAAAACACCAGATCTAATATTTTTAAAGTATAAATTAAAACACTGGCATAGTGAAACTAAACATGATCTGAGCACCTCTACACTGTGTTCCTCTCTCCAGTAACACAGCTAACATGTCTGTATTTGCAGTAGTCTGCATCTACTTGTTAATTAACATTCTTCTCATGATTGCTGTACTTAAAAACAAACAAGTCTATCCTCTTTCAGTCTTGTACAGGGTGACTGAATTAAGAAAACAGCTAGGAAAATTATGCACATTATTCTAGGCTCCGGATTTCAAAAATCATGCAGTTGAGCTTGCTCCTTTCTCTCAGTTTTCCAGCACTCAGCTACAGTTTCATTCTGTAAAATATATGTAATAATCATTATATGGCTCCCTTGTGAAGATATTACAAGCAAAATCCAGCTCCTATTTCAATGCATTTTTAACACATGAAACATTTTACAAGCACTAAGTCACACTGTTATTAATATGTCACTAAGTGAAAAGAAGTGGAGAAATAAATGCTGAGTATTGCCAATAACACAGGCATATCTATTTCACACACTGGCAAACAACATTAGCTGAATGACTCAAAAAACACATGTGCAGAATATCTTTCTGTCGGATTTTCATTTAAAACAGTACATATGTAGGGGGAGATTCTCAGCTGAAACAAATCACCGTATCACCACTGTTTTTAATGCAGTTCATTTATATCAGCAGATCATGACCTTCACGGGCATTACAGATCCTTCTGCACTCCAAGGTATACAGACGCAAACTAATATGTTTGCATTAGCTACACAACCTTGAAGGACTCAAGCACATGTCTCCGGTGGAGTCTTTGGTGGGTACATACCAACAGTTAACAGTATTAACAAAAGACAGCAAAATGCTACAACCTTCATATTTCATTGAGTCGAAGGGATAGCTTAAACAAAGGGATACAGTTATTTTGATAAGGTTTGTAATTTCACTTTGTTTATACTTCTGAAATGCTACAAATGTTTACCTAACAGTTGCACTGTGCCTCCCATCTGAATACTGATCAGTGGCTTGTAAAGAAGATTTGGGCAGAACTACTTAAGTGATCATCTACTCACTTCAAGAACTGAGGTTAATAGATACAGGCTAAATTTACAAAAAAAATTATATATATTAAAAGGATATATAAAAGGATACAATCAGCCACAGAAATTAAAACAGTAAATACTATTAGTATTCATTATATGAATCCAAGAACACCCCCCCTTCAGCCATAATCAAGAATTCAGCTACAACACAGAACTGAAGTACTCTCATTAGCAGGACTAAAATTAACAAGACGCAAGAGGCACTGGGCTGAAACAAGAGAGGATCAGGCTGCATATAGGGAGAAAGTTTTCCAACATGAGAATAGTCAAGCACTGGAAGATGTTTCTCAGGGAGCATGCACCAGCTCTGTCGCAGAAAGTTCCCTTTCTATTCCCCCTCCACCCTCCTCTCATTACAACCCCCCTGCAGTGCTGCGTCCAGCTCTGGAGTCCTCAGCACAGGAAGGACATGGACCTGTTGGAGCGGGTCCAGAGGAGAGACACAAAAATCATCAGAGGGCTGGAGCACCTCCCCTATGAGGACAGGCTGGGAGAGTTGGGGTTGTTCAGCCTGGAGAAGAGAAGGCTCCAGGGAGACCTTACAGCAGCTTTCCAGTACCTGAAGGGGGCCTACAGGAGAGAAGGGAGGTACTCTTTATCAGGGAGCGTAGTGATAGGATGAGGTGTAACAGTTTAAAGCTGAAGGAGGGTAGATTTAGTTCAGATAT